CTTCATAATCAAATTTGCATTAAATAGTTGTTGGATAAAATGTGGGAGAGAAAATGCTGATGGCTCACCCTCCCCTAAAGCAGCCAACAGTGGTGAAATAAGACGTGCTCAGAAATGACTTTGATACCAGATACAGTCATAACTTTATAGCTGTGATACAGACAAAATGTCACTGGCTTTTATTTTGTGTACAGAGATCGCCACTGGCTCCACTCGGTCTTCCCTGTCCTCATTTTCCTGTTGTCCTGGTTTATCCTCCTGTTAATTTAAAATTTTATCTTATCTTTATGTGTTTCTGTGAATCACTATAAATCCTTCCTGGAACAAAGTGTAGGATTGTATAACTCCATATATAAGCAATTCACGAAAGACGTGCATGACTTTAGGTCTTTAGGGTCAGGCTGCTTTAGTATTTCCCACTATGTGATCTTGGGCAAGCCTGAGCCTGCATTTTCTCATCTGTGAAGTGGGCATAATACAAAGATTTACCCCAATGTACAGAAGTGGGTCTTCGGTGAGTTAGCCCATGCAATGCCTTGCTTAGCACACTGCCTACCACACAGTGAAGCCTCTACAAATGCTGGTTTGGGTTCCTATTATCGCAGGCACACTCTGGTGTCTATCCCCGCCCCCACAGATTCCTGCCTGCAGGGGAGGGAGGCAGAACTTCCAGGAGATGGCACATGGACAACAATTTTTGTCACATCATTGATGGATGTTGGACCAGACAGGCCGGAGGAAAAAAGCCAGTCTTTAGCGAGTGATTGTAGGAAAAGTGGATGAAGGGTATTTTCCAGGAAGGGCAGGAGAGTGTGTATTTCCCTGGGGACAGTTGGAGGGTGTCTGTGGAGGTTGATTGGCTGCGAGAAGGGGTCACTAAAAGAGAAGGATTTAGGGGTGAGGCGGGGTGGAGGAGAGGAGAACAAAGACCCTGGAGTGTTCCACGCAGCCTAGTTGAGACGTCTTGCCATGGTGCCCCGATGAGGTTCAGGTGAGAACAGTCTGGGAAGAATCAGCTCCCCCAAGTGGAGCTCAAATACCCCGTGCCGGGAAAAAGACTGCAACTTCTCTGAGCAACTAATTTAACCTGAGAACAGGGAGAGAATCCTCTTTAAAATATGCAAAATATCTTGGAAGAAAGAAAGGCAAACAGTCAGAGCAGTAATTCTGTTGCTAATTCTGTCTGAAATATTATGTACAAAGAACATTAACAACTGGGAGTGCTTGTGAGTTTCTCAAAAGCCTAGAAATTCAGTCAAGGCTCCCCCAGCAAGAGTAACCAATCCCCTCTTGTTTGATGTGCAAATTATAATGAGATTTTTCATTACACTGAAGTAGGAATGCACAGGCTGCCGATGCATCTCAAAGAGTGTCAAGTAAGAAGCAATTGGAACACAGGCGTACACTTACAGCTCTTTCCAATGCCTTCCGGAAATAGAAACACCTATAAAAACTCAGTTTAAGATCACAAAAACCCTTTAAAAGCCCTACCTGGGATATTGGAGGCCTCTACCTTTTCTGGATACGGCTAATTACATAACTTCCTCCACTGTAAATCACAATGAACAAAGCAGAGCTGGTGAATCACACTCTTTTCACTGTAATGACAAGACGTAAATTACCATAAAGACCTTCAATCCCCAAAGTGATGCAATTTGATAGAATGTACTTGTCTCCTTCCCACTTGTTATTCACTAAACTCCTGTCTGGGAAACACTCATTTGACGATGGATATTCAAATGAAAACAAAAAAACAAAAAACAAAAAACAAAAAACCCAGCCCCAGCCCTGTACCCACAGAGGCAGGTGAGGCCGGGGTAGCGAGGTCTTCTAATTGTTCAAGAGAAGCTGGAAATCCTAATGTTTTTAAAAGAATGAAACCTTCTGATGTTTAAGTAGTGGAGATGAATTACAGTTTCTTGAAGAACACAGTGGGGTCAACAAGACACGCCTGGGGCTGAGTCTGTGGTTTGTGATCTCTGGAGGATTCTCTTGCTGTCTTGGCTCCAGAACCCTGCGGACATGTCACTATGTCCAAACCCACTACCAGGCACCTTGGATTTGCAGAGGCTTGGACCATCCTCCTGTTGTTTCAGGCCTTCCCACTTCCATGTGGGCTTTGGTTCTACTGGACCCTTCAGGCTGAGGCCTTTCTCCTCTGTATCCATCGGCTTGGGCTGCCGTAGTGAAATACTACAGACTGGGTGGCTTCAACAACGGAAGTTTATTTTTCATGGTTCTGGAGGCTGGAAGCCCAAGATGAAGGTGCTGGCAGGTTGGGTTTCCACTGAGGCCCCTGTCCTTGGCCTGCAGATGGCAGCCCTCTTGTATCTTCCCATGCTTGTCTTACTCCCCCAACATCTCTGTGTGTCTTAATCGCCTCTTCTTATAAGGACACTGGTCAGATTGGACCAGGGCCTATGCTAACAGCATCATTTTAAATTAATTACCTCTTTGAAGACCCTATCTCCAAATACAGTCACATTCTGAGGTATTGTGGATTAAGACTTCAACCTACGAATTTTGGGAGGAAGAGGATTCAGTCCCTAACACCTTCTACCTCCATCAGCCCTACCCAACTCCCCATTCCTCCCCAGAGGTGAGAGAAGTGGGAAGATGGACATGCCTTATGTGTAGAATTTCCAAAGAAGAAGAAGAAGTTCTTGCAGAAGAACTACTACCAGATCATTCCCTCACTGAACCTGGACCACTGGACTGATCTCTCCACAACAGGCTCGGACTCTCAAACAGCCTCTTTCACCTCACCTGCCCGCTCTGCAGGTCTGAAGTGACCACATAGAAGTCACAAGTCTCCTCTTCTATAACCCCCTCTATGGTAGGTTGTGCCAAAGATGAAGAGTCATGATCGTGCCACTGCACTCCAGCCTGGTCAACAAAGGGAGGCTCTGTCTCAAAGAAAAAAAAAAAAGATGGCCACCCACAATCCATCCATTTTTGAATGAGTACATCACTTTTCCCATCTAGAGGTGGAGTCTATTTACCCTTACCTCCTCTCAAATCTGAGTTGACTTTTGAGGACTTTTTTTTTTTTTTTTTTTTTAGTTTTTAGAGACAGGGTCTCCCTATGCTGCCCTAGTTGGGCTTGAACTCCTGATCCTCCTGCCTCAACCTCCCGAGTAGCTGGGACCTCAGGTGCACACTATTGTGCGCAGCTTTTTGTGACTTGCTTGGACCAATAGAACGTAGTGGGAGTGATGCGGTGCCAGGTCAGCCCTTAGGAGGCCGGGCAGCTTCCACTTTTGCCCTGTTGAAACGCTGAGACCACCATGCTATGTAGAAACCTAAGCTACCTTGTGGGGAGGCCATGTGGAGGGTAACAAAGATGTCCCAGCCAACAGCTCAGCCCGGCCAACAGCTGCTTAGAGTCACACCAGTGACCCAGTTGGGACCACAGAATAATGAGAACTGATCATCATTGCTTAGGCCACTAAGTTTTGGGGGTGATTTGTTATGTAGCAATAGATCACTGAGACACCTCTTCCCAGTTAAACTCTCCCCTGAGCTTCCTATGCCTTATACCAAGGCTTCAATCACTGTGGTCAGCTCAGCGTTAGGGAATGAAATGCTTGCCTTCATGGAAAAGAGACACGAATGGCATGCAGAACAAAGCTGCGTGGGAGATCTCTCAGAGTTCACGTCTTCTCTTGTCCTACTGGCTTCATTCTTAACTTACATGTTATTATGTGAAATTTCTATACAGGAGGGTTATTCTTCATACAGGAGGTGCAAGCTACATAGACAAAGACTGGAGACAACCTTTATTTATTTATTTATTTATTTATTTATGTATGTATGTATGTATGTATGTATTTATTGAGAGGGAGTCTCCCTCTGCCGCTCAGGTTGGAGTGCAATGGCACTTTCTCGGCTCACTGCAACCTCCGCCTCTTGAGTTCAAGTGATTCTCCTGCCTCAGCCTCCTGAGTAGCTGGGATTACAGGCGCATGCCACCACGCCCGGCTAATTTTTGTATTTTTAGTAGAATACTAACTCCTGTTGGCCAGGATAGTCTTGACCTACTGACCTCATGATCCATCTGGTTTGGACTCCCAAAGTGCTGGGATTACAGGCATGAGCCACCCCGCCCCGCCAAGACAACCTTCATTATATGGGACATTTTTGTTGTAACTATACTCCCAGTGTGCTATGTCGTCATATATTTATGAGGATATGAAAACCATTGTTACATAGAGATGCTTTGGAGAAACGGTGTCGCTAGAGACAGGTACCATACTCCATTCTTGTGCTTTAAAGTTTCACATTCGTTATGCGGTCAGCTGGGCTTTGCCGCATCACATTGCAGTTGGAAGGTTTTTTTGTTTTGTTTTGTTTTTTCAAGTGAAAACCAAGGCACAGAGAAATTGAATGACTTATGTAGCGGCAAAGCATTGGTAGACACCAAGAGAGGCTGTTATATTCCTGACGTCAATGTTGAGACCGGTCTGTGGCGGAGTAGACACCACGTGCAACAGGAAGGAGTGGGAAGGGCCAGGAGGCGGCATGGAAAAGCCCTGAGGATGAGGCCTTATTTTGCTCATCTTGTAGCTCCTGGAACACCTTGGTAATCAATGTGTGTTAGAGCCCATTGACTTTCAGTGTGTCTAGAGCGCAGATGTGCCAGGAGAAACCTGGGTTCAAGCCCTGGGTCTCCTGCTCCCTGGCTGTCTGATACTGGCCAAACAGTAAACATGCAGATGGTCTGGTTTCCTCACCTCCAAAATGAAGGTGTGAATACTCTACCACTCCTAATGTTTAATAGCATCCTGCAAAACATTTAGAAGTAATAGTGTTCTAGAATACCACAGGATGCTAGGGGTGTAGCTTCTGGGGAAACTGAGGCACAAGAAGATTAAATGATTTTTCCCCAAGGTTTAGAGTCAATAACTGACAGAGGTAAAACTAAAACCCAACTTCCACTATGAGTACTAATACTGTTACTACTTTCTACTTCAAAGGATTGTAGTAAGACAAAATTTAGAGTGCTTGCTTCAGCAGTACATATACTAAAACTGGAATAAATGAAAGATTAATATGACCCTGTGCAAGGATAACATGCAAATTCATGAAGCGGTTTAAATTTAAAACAATTTTTAAAATTAAAATATTGGCTGGGCTCGGTGGCTCACGCCTGTAATCTCAGCACTTTGGGAGGCCGAGGCAGGCAGATCACTTGGGGTCAGGAGTTCAAGATCAGCCTGGCCAACATGGTGAAACCCTGTCTCTACTAAAAATACAAAAAATAGCTGGGCATAGTGGCTCATGCCTGTAATCCCAGCACTTTGGGAGGCTGAGGCCGGTAGATCACCAGAGGTCAGGAGTTTGAGACCAGCCTGACCAACATGGTGAAACCCCGTTTCTACTAAAAAATACAAAATTAGCCGGGCGTGATGGCACATGCCTGTAATCCCAGCTACTTGGGAGGCTGAGTCAGGAGAATCGCTTGAACCTGGGAGGTGGAGGTTGCAGTGAGCCAGGATCGCGTCATTGCACTCCAGCCTGGGAAACGAGAGTGAAATTTCATCTCAAAAAAGAAAAAAGAAATATTTCTTAATATGACTGGCTTTGTTTTTAAGGAAACAGAACTGACATGATAACTTTTTAAGTAGAGAATTATCTTTCTATTTTAAAATGTTACATCTGAGTTCTTTAGATTTCAAATTGTGTTTGAACTGAACTTTCAAATTGTTGCTGATATGAAGGAATGTCTTGATTCAGCTCTTTGTCTAGGGCCCTCTGTCTCAGGAAAGAAAATGCATTCTTTGGAGAATATAAAGCCTGCTATGACCCTGCTGAGTTATAAATAGTTTGTGCTACCCAGAAACAGTACTCGATTTGAAAATACCATTTTAAAGACATCATTTGTGTTTCACTACCACTTCCTAGTTCCTACGGTAATTGGAAAACTAGAATAGCAAGTCCTGTCCTCTTGGGACTTATTTCCTCATTTGTCTGATGTCTCCTTCCAACTTGAAAATACTATGTGTCACTTATTTGTGATATGAAATGAAAGTGAGCTACCAGCATTCTGTTTTGATAACTTTTGAGGGTGGAGTGGAGAAAATATGACATCATTTAAAATTTTAAGAGGCAACCAGAGTTTGCATTAAGCAACTGCTATTTGTAGGCAACATACACAAGTCATTACTTCCCATCCTTTGGCCCTTAATGACTTTCTTAGCTTTCATTCCTCCCAAATGGAGCAGTCAAAAGACCATCAATCCACTCAAATATGGAGGTTAAAAAAACCATCCGGGTAGGACAGGACATTCAGAATGGTGAAGCAAGCTCCGCAGACCCTCTCTCCAGCAAAACACCTCAAGTGGTGAAAATAATAAAAAGGCAATAATTTAAAGCCCCTGGATATTGTTCAAAGGGTATACAGGAAACAAAGAAAAAGTCCCTCAAAAAAATATATGAAACCTTCTTAGGAAGGGTCTGTGGCAGTTGAGCCACTTCCTGTTTCCTTACCCTTTGCATCCCCTGCTCAGTGTTAATGGAAGTACTACCTGTTCTGCACCCTCCACTCTGGGCAGGTGTGGCCAAGATGATAGGGACTCTCTTTTCATCCCCCCTTTCCCCCTGCCAGTCTGAGGCTATGGTTTCACCCCTCCTGAGCCCAGCCCTGTGTTGCGGAAGCTCTATTCTAGGCAGTACCAACCTCCCTTTCCCCATCTTGCCTGCCTTGTTTGTAGGGTAGAAGTTCTACTCCAGGTGAAGCAGGCTAAGAATACTGGGACCACTGTCACCCCCACCCCAGCTCACTCACGAGTAGCAGGGAGGTTCCATGCTGCCATGGACAAGCCAAGAAGAACAGGCTTATCCACAGCTGCAATAGCCGCCACCCCTAGTACCCACTTGCAGATCCGGGCATTCATCACTCTGGGAGAAGTGGGTCCCTGACCCCAGCTCCTTGCAGTTTTGCATGGGTTCTGCCCCAGGGGAGAGGCAAGCCAAGATGGCAAAGAGGCCAGGCATGATGGCTGGCGCCTGTAAGCCCAGCACTTTGGGAGGCTGAGGCAGGACGATCACTTGAAGCAAGGAGTTGGAGACCAGCCTGGGCAACAAAGCAAGACCTCATCTCTAAAAATACAAATTTAAAAATTAGCTGAGCGTGGTGGCGCACATCTGTAGTCCTAGGTGCTAGGGAGGCTAAGGTGGGAGGATCACTTGAGCCTTGAGGTTGAGGCTGTAGTGAGCTATGCACTCAGCCTGGGTGACAGAATGAGACCCTGTCTCAAAAAATAAACAAATAAAAATAAATAATAATATTGCAGTCTTCCCTGGCAGTCTGGAAGACTGTGTACATGTCCAAGGCTGTACCTTTCCAGGGTGTGATCAGAGGAGTGACCACAGAGCTCTAAGATACTAGAACACGAGAGAAAACGGTAACCCCTTCCCCCACAACTGTGCTAGCAACCTTCAAGCCACACACATTTCCAACAATAAACATCTAACTGCTAAGCAGGCTTAAGTACAACATCTGAATAATAAGAAAGTGACCCACCAGAAGTGATTCCTAGCCTAAGTGGCCAGGCTAAAAGAGAAAACAAGGTCAGAGAACTCTGAGGTTGAATGTCAGAGGCTGCTCACCGCAAGGGACACAGACTTTGCAGGATTACTGTAGTCAAGTCACTAAGCAAATAAATAAACCCCAGCAAACAATAACCACCACCACCCCTAGCAGTGGCGTCAGTATCCACAGTTGCTACCAAATATTACCTAAAATTTTCAGTTTTCAACAAAAAAATTGCAAGGCATGCAAAAACAAAACAAAACAAAAAAATAAGAAAGTGTGACCCATACACGAGAAAAAATAAAGCCAGCAATCAAAACTGCTTTTGAACGGGTCCAGAGAGTGGACCCAGGAGACAAGGCTTCAAAACAGCTATTCTGATCGAGACCATCCTGACTAACATGGTGAAACCCCGTCTCTACTAAAAATTAAAAAAATTAGCCAGGCACGGTGGCGGCGCCTGTAGTCCCAACTACTTGGGAGGCTGAGGCAGGAGAATGGCGTGAACCCGGGAGGGGGAGGTTGCAGTAAGCAGAGATTGCACCACTACACTCCAGCGTGGGTGACAGAGCAAGACTCTGTCAAAATAAAATAATAAAATAAAATAAAATAAAAACAGCTATTCTAAGTATGTTCAAAGAAATAAAGAAAATCCTTCTTAGAAAACTAAAGGAAGGGCCGGGTGCGGTGGCTCAAGCCTGTAATCCCAGCACTTTGGGAGGCCGAGACTGGTGGATCACGAGGTCAGGAGATTGAGACCATCCTGGCTAACCCGGTGAAACTCCGTCTCTACTAAAAAATACAAAAAACTAGCCGGGTGAGGTGGCGGCGCCTGTAGTCCCAGCTACACGGGAGGCTGAGGCAGGAGAATGGCGTGAACCTGGGAGGCGGAGCTTGCAGTGAGCTGAGATCCGGACACTGCACTCTAGCCCGGGCGACAGAGTGAAACTCCGTCTCAAAAAAAAAAGAAAGAAAACTAAAGGAAGATATGATAGCAATGTCTTATTAGAAGAAAATAGCTAAAAATATTCACAAGTGCCAGTTATAAAAACAAAAGAAAGAAAAGGTCAGGCACGGTGGCTCACACCTGTAATCCCAGCACTTTGGAAGGCCAAGGCAGGTGGATCACTTGAGGTCAGGAATTCAAGACCAGCCTGGCCAACATGGTGAAACTCTTTCTCTACTAAAAACAAAAATTAGCCAGACGTGGTAGTGGGCACCTGTAATCCTAGCTACTTGGTAGGCTGAGGCAGAAGAATCACTTGAACCTGGGAGACAGAGATTGCAGTGAGCCGAGATCATGCCACTACACTCCAGCCTGGGCCACAGAGTGAGATCCTGTCTCAACAAAACAAAACAAAACAAACAAACAAACAAACAAAAAACAACAACAAAGAAAGTATCAATAAAGAGAAACTATTAAAAAGGACCAAATAGAAATTCTGGACGTAGAAAGTACAAACAGAAATGAAAAATTTACAAAGGGGCTCAACAATAAATTTGAGCTGGCAGAGAAATCCAAAGGAAATCAGAAAGTACTTTGAGCTAAATGAAAATAAAGACACAGCATACCAAAACGTATGGGATACAGCTAAAGTAGTGCTTAGAGAGAATTTTATAGCTATAAATGCCTATATTAACAAACAGGAAAGATCTCCAATCAGTAACCTAAACTTCTACCTTAAGACTCTAGCAAAAGAAGAGCAAACTAAACTGAAGCAAGTAGAAGGAAGAAAAGAATAAAGATTAGAGTAGAAATTAATAAAATAAAATCAAGACTGGGAAAACAATATAGACAATCAGTAAAACCAAAGTTGATTATTGAAAGATGGACAAAAATGACAAAGCTTTAGCTAGATAGACCAAGAGAAAAAGAGAGAAAGCTCAAATTGCTAGAATCAGAAATGAAAGAGGAGACACTACTACTGACTTTACAGAAATACAAGGGATTATAAGGGCATACCACGGGCTGCATACCAAAAACAGCAGATAATTTAGATGAGATGGAAAATTCATAGAAAGACATGTACTACTGAAACCGATTAGAGAAGTAGAAAATCTGAATCAGCCTATATCCAGTAAAGAGATCAAATTAGTAATTTTAAAACTTCTTATAAAAGAAAACTCAAATCCAAGTGGCTTCACTGATACACTTCCCAACCCATTCTTTGAGGCTAGTATTTACCCGGATACCAAAATCAAATACATTACAAGAAAAGAAAAAAGGACCAACATCCCTTATGAATACAAAAATTCACAAAAATACAAACATAAAATACTGGCAAACAGAATATGGCAACATATAAGGAGGTTTATACACCATGAGCAAGTGGGATTTATACCAGGAATACAAGGTGAGTTTACAGTCAGAAATCAATTAATGTAATACACACTATTAATAGAATAAAGCATCCATAGTATAAAGGAAGAATTAAAACAACCTCTTTCTACAGATGACATGATCTTGTATACAAAAAAAATCCCAAGGGATCCACTAAAAAACTATTAGAACTAGTAAACAAGTTCATCAAGGTAACAGGATATAAGATGAATATTCAAAGTCAATTTT